GATGTGATCCGGAAAAATCTCGAGTGCTTTCATTACCAGTGAACGGCTTTCGTTGAATTGACCCAACTGAAAACATCATTATCAGCATCCTCAAATACTCGAAATCTAGGCAGTTCAAAGCAATTCAATCAAGAACGCTACTCACAAATTTCACATTTGATCAAGGCCTGTTGATCTCAGTCAGTTCCCGTTGATCTCAGCACTTAATCCAGCATCAATCAATGATATCGCTGCTGTCATTAATTCAACGGAAAAATTCTTTGACATATGTGCTTGCTGGCCATCAGACATTCAGTTGCGCATTTTTCAGTTAAAATAATTGACTAAATTATAACCTGATAGGTGAGTAGTGCCAGATTGAAGTGTGGTTCGAAAAGATGTGGTCCTTTTTGAATTGCCGACAGAAACAACGCTCGGCTTTGTTCAAGTTTGCCGTCTCGCATCTGCAGAACGGCCAGATTGCAGACACTTTCGGCGTGATTCGCGTCTGCGGACATTGCCAACCGAAAACAACGACTCGCCATCGTTGTGTCACCAGTTGCCTTCAATTGAAAAATGCCTACTACTAACCGCTAACTTCCCTGGTGATTTCCCTGGCTCGCTCGCTAGCCCGTTCACAAACCAACAACAACAATAACTCAAAAGAACCACTCACTCGAAATGCTCAGCTCACAAAATGATCGCATTTAAATTCCCTGCTGTGTACGCGTTCCTAGAAATGTGATGGCTCCGCATTGAACTAATAATTTTGAAGCAGCCATATCAAATATGTTTTCTCGACAAAAGAATTCGCTATAAATCCGTTTTTCTCTTACACCAAATCAAAATCTCTGATCACAAAACTACGACAAATAATTTTTCATCTACCAACCAAAATGACACTCGACAACGCATACTTCTCACCTGAACATAGGACCACGATAAATTTCACGATAGGCAGGCATTTCATCTAACATGTAAATTTTTGGTGATCTATGCATGACATTGGGCTTAAAAATTTCTTATTTGCCACTAATGAAGTGCGATCTTGTTTTCTGATGAAAAGAGCCACTAATCTAAAGTGGTTTGAATG